AGATGGGACGAATTTGATTTTTTATATTTGCTTTTCTTTTTATTCTTTTAGTTACTTTATTAATAATTATTTCTATTTCAGTATTTTTTAATTAAATTTTTTTAATTAATAATTATTTGCACACACCTTTGCCACATTGACTATATCAATGCCACATAAGCATAGTCAACGGTCAGAGTTGTTTATTGATATCCATTTTTGAGTTGAGGTGTTCAAATGGAAAAATTCTAAGTTAGTTTACCGGGTTGACAAACCATTGCAAGTTTACGTGACCATGAGGCCATTTTGCCTTCTTTTTTCAATAAATCCCTGTTTAAATTAAATTTTACTTATATTGCACTGTAAAAAGTTTTACGCTATGAATACATTTAGCTTTTTTTTTTTTACTAAACATACGTATGATAGTGATTACATGCAGTTATTACAATATCACTGAATATAAGGGTTCATGGGTCAAAATATCAGACAACAATCAGAAGGCTTCTCATATTTAACAAAATTTAACCAACTTTTGGTAAGATAATAGGTGATACTGCCAATAAAATGTTATTTCATGTAGTTCTTACAGGCATGAGACTTTACCAAGCAAAAAACATTACGGCAAAACTGCGGGAATATAGATGTAACAAACCAAAATTTGGATTTTAAACAGCACTTAACAAGACTGATCAGAAGAATTTGGCACTCTATTGTCAGCTTGTTTAGTATCTTGACCTCCCTCCTCTTCCACGGCCACGCCCATATCCACCTCCTCTTCCTCCACCACCACCACCTTTTCCACCGTTAGCATAATGTTTTACTTGCATGTTCACTGGAAGGGGTTGTATCTGATCTACACACTTCCTAAAGCTAAAATCATCCACAGAATCATCCTCCCTAATAACAAAGAAGCAGCGACTTTTGAACTGTGGATGAAATCGGATTTGGAAAGCGCGAACTCCTGTACCAATCTTCTTCTCTGGTTCTGAATGGCCCTTCTTAAGTAAGTCAAGTAGGACTATCTGCTCATACTGCAACACCAAACCAACAAAACATAAGTGATCATGATCATCATATCGAGCACTCATATGTAAGTAATAAATGTAACATTCCAATATATCCGATGCCAAGATTTAGCTCCAAAATGAGAATCCATGAAAGCTGAATCATAGTTCCAACAGAACATCCTTATGAAATGGACTTTCTTGTGCAGGAATAACTATTAACTCCCCTCTAACGTTATGACTAATACAAATGATATACATTTCTGAGCAAGTATTTGGCCATTTTTTGCTCTCAATAATTAGATCGAGTTGAAAGCACCAATCTGACAAAGATATTAATTTGACCCCAACAAAAGGCCAAGTATAGTCCAACAGGCAAGAAAGCAAGTGAATTCCAAATGGAGCCTAAAGGCAATCTCTGAGCAACATGAATTGAGGATGGAGTGGTAATTCAGAGCAAAATCAAATCAAATAGATAATCATTTCCGATTGCAACCAATAAAGTCCGAATTGACTAACACCTCTAATTTAGGCCATAGAAAGATTACGACTATAACCAGAGGCAGCTACAAGATTATCCAAGTAACAAAAGAAAAAGATGTTTGTTGTCAAAACACACACATATCCAAAATGGATGTACAGTCAATTTATTAGAAAACAAAATATAATAACTAAGCAATCCGTATTAGTCATTTTGACGTCGATGTGAGTATGATATAATGCAGTTTGATGTTCTAATGAAATGGAAAATCAGGATGTTCCCAAGTAAAAGATCCTAAATAGCCAACCCGAAAAGTCCCAAATTTTCACAGTCCATTGCCCATACATAACCACTTAAACCAGAGAACCGCAGGACAGGGTAAAAACCAAATCTTGCTTTACACAATAATAAAAACACTAGTCACCTGCTCATTTTGTGAAATATGCTGAATATGTGACATCTTGCAAACAAGGTTAATACAAACAGTGTGATATTTTTACCTTGTTGAGATTGAGATTGGGAGTCCAGGAATGGAGGAGTTTGTAAAAGTAATCAAACATCTCCACAGACGACCCAAAGCTCTTCGGACCCACGCTAACAGGATCCGACCCATCTTTCTTTTCTTCTTCGCCGGAGTTGTCGACTTTCGGCTTCTTCGTGGCGTCTCCATTCTCTCCATTCACCTCTAGCTCGTCTCCCTCCTCCCTTAGACGCTTCGAGCCGCCGTTCTCAGCCGCATCATCGGCGGCTTGAGCTTCCACGTCCATTTTCTGTGCAGAGGTTTCTTCTTTCCCGGTCTGTGATACGGTTTCGGAGGCTTGAGGTTCAGTTTCCGCCATGGCTGAGCTGCTCGACTTAAAATTTTTTGGGAAAAGAAACCCTAACTCTTTCTTTACATTAAAATAGCGGGTTCTTTTTACCCGACTTAACAACTTCGCTAACCCAAGAGGAGATCCTTGCTAGTAATTTTTTCTTTGTTTTTTACCTTACTACTTCTTCCCTGTTATAAATACAATTATATTTATAGTAAATGTCTATATTTAGAGAGATTTTAGGGTTCATTGCTCGGTGGCTAAGCCACCATCTCCCTATAAATAGACGGCTCTATTCTATTGTAATTCATCCCAAAATTCAATAAGAACTCTCTCTCTACTTTTCTCTGCAATATTCTTCCTCTTCTTTTTATTGTTCATAACAGGTTATCAGCACGACACTCTAACCAATTGAGTAGAAGCTTTGGGATTGAGCATAATGATTGTCAATTATTCCATGAACTTCCTTCATGATTAAATTCTGGATTTAAGGTAAGTATTTTACCGTATTTTTCTCTTTTATTCTATACTTTGATTTTAAATACAAGCAAAGACAACAAAGTTTGATTATAACTCTAATGGAGTTTGTAAGAAATTATAACCACCTGAAGTGGTAAAAGTTTCTATGTCTTGCCATGATCAAATTCATGTATGATTATGGGCACAAAAAGTGGAAACTCGTCCCATTGAATTTGCTCCATTCTCATTCCCTTAAGAGAATGTGATAGCAGTATGTGATAAGCCTGAAAGAAGATAAAATTATCACTATGAATGTATCAATGGATGTGGACGTGGCAATAGACGAAATTATAATCGTCATCATTGTAATAATGAGAATAATAAGGATTCTCAAAATAATCCCCACTTGTAAAAATACTTGTCATCGATTTGGCATGAGATTTTATAAAGCACATATAGATGATTATGGTCTATTCATGATGTGAATGTGATAACATCTGATTTAAGAATACATATTCATTTTTGGAAGAATATGAGCATGCTAGTGATATATACCACACTCACCTCTAGAAAGAGGTTTGAGATGATATAAGAAAATAATATCATTATTATGGCATGCATGGTCATTGGTCACGTACCTATTGTACGCCAAAATATTTTGGCATTGTGATTATTAAAAGTCAACGGTAATGCAAGAAAAAGATCTTGCATATAATTTTGACCATAACCATAATGGTATAACTTTCTCATTAAAAGAGATATTCACCATATGGGTGTTGATGAATATGTGGTACTACAAAATTAATTGAGAACTCTGCAAGAGCCAATTATACTATTTTGGAGAAACACAATTAATTACCAATAAGGTATTGTGTTGTAGTAAGTCTCAAAGAAACTTATTCAGTTTCCAAAGTATACGCGAAAGCGGTTGATTATATTGAGACTATAAATAAAGGAAAGATTTAATATCTTCTATTACTACATCTTGTAGCGGGGTAATATGTATGTGAAAAGCTACCCGCTTTATTCTCCAATTTGTACTACATAAACAAAAGAATACCACAATGAAGTGGATATTTATTGATATAAAAACTCTTATCATAATAAACTAGGAGTTTATTCATAATTGCACACATCATGTTGTAAACCTAAAGTTTATCAATATTGATAATTTATCCAGTTGGGATAATTGGTTTAGCCATGTTAATTCAAGTATGATGTGCAAAATAAAAGAGAATTCACATGGGTAAATATTAAAGAACTAGAAAGTTCTTTACGTATTCTCTTATATTGTTTGTTCTCATTAATTAATAGATCAACTAAAATTGGGATTGAATCCCATGAATGCTGGAAATATCAAAGGTGAATATGGGCCCATTCACCTGCCATGTATACCACATAAGATGCATCTATGAGATGGTTACATGTGCGATTATTATTAACCCGCAACATGGTGTTTGCGAGGTAACTTGCTCAATAATTTAATTTAGAGCATATTCCAGATTTTCTATTCAAGAAGTTCATCTTGATAAGTTGGTCTACATCACAGCTGGTTTAGCAAAATGATTTATTGAGTGCCTCCACTTAATAGCTAAACAATTGCTTATGAGAATAAAGTTTTGTATATCAGTTTGATATACGTTATATACGAAAGTATATTAATTTCTCCCCTCACAAGTGGTTCATGGTCAGGAAACAAATAATTCCATCTTATTATTATTGATGTGCGGTGTATATTTTGATTAACACCATAACGCACAAAGATGGGTTCTCAAAGTTGAGAAAACAAGTTAGTTTTTCTAACATGAGGGGGAGACATGATAAACAGTTGAGAAAAGGTTACGTGGAATGAATTATCACTTGTACATCTAGATCCTCGAATAAGATAATATGAACTTGAAGTTCATAAAAGGATAATTCAGTTGCAATTTATTGCAAAGCATGTCAGACGCATTTGCTGACCCAAAGAAAGTAACTATATTCTCATTGCAAATGCTCTTATTAAGTCCTAGAAGGACAAAGTCTATGGTACGCTTGAAGCGTATAGACAAGTCGGTTTCAAATAAACTTCTTGATAAAGAAGATGAGCAAATGATCTAAATGATCATAATAAAGGAGGCAAGTGATCTAGAAGATAACATGACATAACACTTCATAAAATCTCATGAGAGATTCAGGTACCTGAATATATGAATGAAGAGATCTCTATGTTATGTCTTTATGAAAAATAAGGAGGTTGGAACCGATATAAAAAGTTTGTCGACGACATCTATAATAGCGCTAAATATATATGAGGATCTTAAGTATGGAGAAATAATTCAAGTAGAATTTGGTTTCATATGAAAGACATGTAGTTTTGGACCTGCAGTTCAAACACTTGAATAAAGTCAATGATATGTGCAATCAGTTTTCGGTATCTTATATGTCTAGCATGACATGAAAACTTGATATGCATCTAAAGTCTATTATATGGCTTATATGACTTAACAATCCGTGAAGGATTTAAATTGCTTAAAGCATATAGAATTCATGGTCATGAAGTACTACATCCTCAGTGCAATTTGTGCACAAATGTATCTTGCTATAACTATATGCATGATAATATGATAGCAAGAGTTCTCACCTCTATGTGAAGATATTGAACTGACGATTCCAACAAGATCATATGAAGACAATTCATCTCTATCAAGAATGATGATTTCAAGGTGCAATATGTTCATTCAAAGTTAATATGCATGATTTGTTCATCAAATCTCTACCAAAGATCTTTTCAAGATGGTGCACAAGATTGGAATGCAAATGCTCAAGGATGTGAATTGATGCTCTCATCAGGGGGAGTTAATACGCATTGTACTCTTTTTCCCTTACTAGGTTTTGTCCCACTGGGTTTTCCTTGCAAGGTTTTTAACGAGGCAACCAAAAGGCGTATTGTTAGATATGTGTACTCTTTTTCCTTCTCTAGAATTTTTTTCCCACTGGGTTTTATTTTAGTTAAGGTTTTAACGAGGCACATTATCTGTTGAATAGACATTCAAGGGAGAGTGTTATAAATACAATTATATTTATGGTGAATGTCTATATTTAGAGAGATTCTAGGGTTCATTGCTTGGTGGCTAAGCTACCATCTCCCTATAAATAGAGGGCTCTATTCTATTGTAATTCATCCCAAAATTCAATAAGAACTCTCTCTCTACTTTTCTCTGCAATACTCTTCCTCTTCTTTTTATTGTTCATAACATTCCCCTTTTTTTTTCTGCACGAAAATAACTTTAAGAATGAATATAATACTAGTACAGTACAATTTACCAACACTTTCGACCTTTTTCAAGCGCTTTCAAATTCATTTGTTATTTTTGTTTTTACGTTAATAGACCAATGATAATTTATTTTAACTTACATAGCCATTAGGAGCTAGTTATGTAAAGTTACAGTTTGCTGAACTGCAAAAAGAATCTTCAGTTGAAACCCAAAATCAAGGACGAGAGGGGCCTTGGCCCAACACTTTCTCAATGGGCTGAAAGGCAGATAAATCGGTAAAAATTGCACGGGGCGTCCTATTTGGTCGCCCCCATTTAACCTATAGTCATTTTTTAAAAAAATTTTAACTTGTACCCACATTTTAAACAACTTCAGCCCCCTTTCTCCTCCTCCTTCTCCTCCTTCGTTTTCTTCTTCTTCTTCTTCTTCTTCTTCTTCTTCTTTCTTTTGCTGCTGTTGGTGCTGCTATGAAACTCCAGTTCATGGGATGATTGCCATAAGTATGTTTATCAGATTATTTAAAAATAAATTATAAATAATTACGTAAGCTAGTAGACAATAATTTGTGAATATTTCCACGTACGGAAAGTTTAAGGTCACACTTAGTGATTCTTTTCATGATAATTCTGTTCTTTTCACGTTTATTTATTTTCAAAATTTTATGATTTAGATACTGTTGGCAATCTGATTATTTTATAGTAGTCTGATTATAACAAAACTAATGAATCCAGGACAAAAAAACTTCAGCTTATTTAGTGCTGAACTTTTTACAAATGAACTAAATAACTTCAGCATCTTCTGCTGAAGTTTTTGAACAAGCTTTATGACAAAACTAATGAATCCAGGACAAAAAAAAAAGTTCAGCTTATTTAGTGCAGAAGTTTTTACAAATGAACTAAATAACTTCAGCTTCTTCTGCTGAAGTTTTTGAAAAAGCTTATCCAGGACAAAAAAACTTCAGCTTATTTAGTGCTGAAGTTTTTATAAATGAACTAAATAACTTCAGCATCTTCTGCTGAAGTTTTTGAAAAAGCTTAATGACAAAACTAATGAATCCAGGACAAAAAAACTTCAGCTTATTTAGTGCAATTACAAACAAAAACTTCAACAAATAGAGAACAAAACTTCAGCTACTATGCTTAAGTTCAGCAATTACAAACAAAAACTTCAGCAAATAGAGAACAAAACTTCAGCTACTATGCTTAAGTTCAGCAATTACAAACAAAAACTTCAGCAAATAGAGAACAAAACTTCAGCTACTATGCTCAAGTTCAACAATTACAAACAAAAACTTCAGCACACTTGGTTCAGCACACTTTCTACTTCAGGCCCGTCTACTAGAATGCTGAAGTTTTGCGTGATTGCCTTTGCTACTTCAGCCCCGTATGCTGAAGTTACGCGAAAAA